CTTTGCCGATTTTTCATTATTGTTTGGCTCCACAGAATGACTTCAAAATTGAGAGACAGGTAGCTTACATAACAGAGAACTCAAAAAAAAAAAAATCAGAAAAAAATAATAATTTTTAGGTACCAAACATTTTTTTTGCGGGGTCCGAACCCCTTCGAGTTCGGGCCCCGTACGGGGACCCGAACGCCCGAACGTTCGGGGGTCAGCTTAGGGGCCTCCGTACGTTCGGCCTGGCAACTCTGTATATATATATATATATATATACCTTCAAACAGAGCTGCTCGGTAAACCGTAGGCAGAGAGGGAGAGAAGGACAACAAACGAGGTGACAAACTGTTTTGTCAAAGTTTCTATACCGGGCAGTTCTGTTTGTGACGATATATACTCTGTTTGACTTAAAAAAATAAAAAAAGGCAAAAAAAGAAAAAAAGAAAACAAGAAAAAAGAAAGCAAGTAAAAATATGTTGATCTATGGGATGTGGTATTTGCTTTGTGACAATTGGATTATCTCTGGGATGTGTCATTTGCTTTGTTTGACAGATACACTTTCTTTCCATGTCAGGTTTGGTTTCCTCCTCCTTTTCTTTACCTCTTTTTTGCCTTTTGGCTGCGTGCAAGTGGGTCCTTGTGACACACGGGGATGGGGGCAGCCAGCGCTCAACCTGTCATCCACGTCGCTGGCCTTGTACGTAAGAGGTGATGAACAGGTGGGGCTCTTCTTCCTTCCTTCTTTTCCTTTCCCTGTTTTGCTTTTTTTCGCCTTCGCGCTCTGATTCACAGTATGACAAGGTACTACCATCTCCAACACCCTGAGGTTTGCAGCACATAATTCAAAAATAAATAATTGACGGAAAAAAGAAAATGAAAACGGTCAAGAAGCAGACGAGTACGTGAATCTGGCTGCGGTACACTATTTCTTTGGACCGGATGCAATGTATCTTGCGCGAGCTCCCACTAGCAAAGGGGGTTGGATTAAGCGCCTGCATCTGAACATATTCTATGCAGAGATGCAGAAAAGCAGATCAATTTCGATTTTCTGCACGTATGCACAAACACGTTTAAAATTTAAATTCAGGCGTTAAATCCAAAAATCTTTCTGTGCTAGTGGGAAGACCTCGTCTCGCTTCTTCATTGCTTTTTGTTTTTTTTTTTGTTTTTTGCTTCTTCACTTCTGGCCATGCATCTTCAAAATCACAGATCGAAACTAAAAAACAAACAAACAGAAAAAACAATAAAAGAATCGAGGGAACTAGGAGGAGGCCTCCCATAATGGTGGCACTCCTACCCCCTACAAGGCCCAAAGAGCCGCTACACGAGGGCGATGCATAGACACCTAGGTTTGGCAAATGCAAATGCTGATGTCAATGTCCTCCCCC